TGTACATTGTGTTGTTGTTCCACTACTGTATTGTTGGTACTACGTGTACATTGTGTTGTTGTTCCACTACTGTATTGTTGGTACTACGTATACATTGTGTTGTTGTTCCACTTCTGTATTGTTGGTACTACATGTACATTGTGATGTTGTTCCACTACTGTATTGTTCGTACCACGTGTACATTGTGTTGTTGTTCCACTACTGTATTGTTGGTACTACGTGTACATTGTGTTGTTGTTCCACTTCTGTATTGTACGTACGTTGTGATGACTGTGGGGACCAGCTGGTGTGATACACTCATCATTAGCCCACAGAATAATGCAATGACATAGTCATTTGTCATCTACATAAACTTGTCGCCTAAATATTCATGTCTGAACATTAACATATTCATGTACGGTAAAGATCTTTGACATTTTATAGTTATATACAATGATGTAAAATGTATCTAGAAAAGAAGTTGATTTGTTAGCTTTGTATTTTAAAAGAACAAAATAATAAATGTAGACAAGTCAACTTTTGTGTAATTATTTCAAATGCAATACTGCATTAAACCCCTTACGTATACATATATAAAACAACAGCGACATCAACAACAGAACACCTAAAATTGTGGGGGGGTTTCAAAAAACAAATTGACGTCACAGAATTTTTGGAGAAAACTAAAATAAATCAATGGAAATCAGCATAAAAGTATTTTGCAAAAATGTAATTTTTAAAATTCAAAGCAATTTACTGCAACATTTTGGTTTGACTTAATAATCTGCTTGTGATTTGAAGATAAAGTTACTTGTCAAATGGAAGTGATTTGAACACATTGTACATAGGACTACAAAAAGTGTTATCTAATGGGTCGGTATACTTGATGTGGTATAGAAATTGAACTGCATTACTGTAAGTACTGTGTGTACATTAATCCATGCTTTTAAGCGAAACTTTTAAAAAAATATGAAAATGAAATACCGAAGAAAACAAATTTGCTGAGAGCATTTGACAAGTTTTATGTAAACAGCCATGCAAGGTATTTGAGGACACTTTGAGAGTAACAACAGGTTTTGTTGAAACAGCGTAAGGATATGGGTGGGAGTGTTATACATTGGCACCAGTGTTTCCCCACGGAAGTTTACATGTCAAAAGAATGTCATTTAAATGTTATTGAAAGTGAATTATTTCCCGTTTTATTTCCAGATTGCAGACTTTGGTTTGTCTAATTACTTCAGCCAGAATAAACTCCTGTCGACCTACTGTGGCAGCCCCCTGTACGCCTCCCCGGAAATCGTCAACGGCAACCCCTACCATGGTCCGGAGGTATGCACTTGTTATTTATCTTATAACCTCTGACAGAGATTTGGTTAATACTCCTGACTTCAACATCTTTTTGATCAACTTACTGTGGTAATTAACAAACTGAATACAGTTTATTGAATTTGGTACAGTTCTCAATTTGGAAACAACTTAATATAACTCTGGAAGTGAAGTAAAATCAGGTTTAGAATGAAAACAAAACAAACTAGTCAGGCCGGTAATTACACATTTGCCTGAAGGTAAATCATTGATGGCTTAAGGTTGCAAGGAATGGCCTTAGGTTGACCTTGAGAATGTACACAAGCACTCACATGTTTTAGGAGATATCGAGACAGCACAACATGTGTAGCTCACGCTGTGAATCTTATCTCCAGCATAAACTTTTTTATCTGATCAAGATCCATCATTTCCAAAAAGACATAATGTATTCTGACCCACTGGTCCCTGTAAACCGACAATGATCTGTTTGGATGAGTCTAGCACTACAGGTGGATGGGGTTTAAATGAAACCCATTGTAATCTCAAATCTCAGATCGTGCATGAAAAATATTTAACAAACTTTTTGTTTGCTCAAATTTTTCTTTAAGTTAATGAAGTGTGTCGATATCAGTGATAAACATTGTAGAGATGTATATGGATCCCAGGTAACCTTAGATAAATGTTTTCTTTCACATGTACGGTTACTTCATATGTTAATGTCCGACTCTGTATATATAGACCTTTACTTATCTACCCCTGAATTTCACAATGAACTATTCCAATCTTTGAATTGGAAGAGTTCAATTGTGCCTTTGGGGTTGAATGAGTTAAATACTCAGTTTAATATACTCAATGATATTGATATGTCAACACTGGGAACAATGACAGATGCACACTAACTTAGGGTGAAAAACCTTCGTGTATCCACCAGTATTTACATAAAACATAGAGACCCTGAGGATGTGACAGGCTGTACAATGGAAAGCACAGTCTGTGGTTCATCTATTTGTTTAACAATGAAGTTTAAACTGGTGACAATTAGACCAGTAGACAGAGTGACCCTAGTGTATTACACTTTCCTTATCAATCCTAAGACTATGACATGTGATGTTCTGTAGAAACAAGCTTCTTCAATATCTCACAAAGACAGAAGTTAAATTTTTCGAAATAAATACTTCCTTAATTTTAAATTCACCAACAAAGTTATTTTTGGATCTAGAATATCATCACTTATAAACGTGAAAATATCAGTATTTTAGGTTTGCTTTAAAAAAAAAGTTCAGGTTGAAAAGTTAAAAGTTTGACAAAATTCATTATAAAGCTAATGGTATGTGATACAAATGATTCGTGTCTACCATACTTGTAGTGATTATGTTATCATTTAACTTGACTCGATGACAGTAGTTCACTAATACTGTGACAGACTGGTGCAGTTTTACCCATTAACGCCAGAGTAATGAAGATAGGGCCATTCTTTGCCTTATACTTTCTGAAATAGAAGGGCCAGGCTTGTGTAGTTTCTTCGTGTTTATAACACAATCTTATCACAGAAAGNCCCCCCCTTCACTTACTCTAGAACAGGTAGCTGTAGGGGTATCTGTCATCAGGGAAATGGAATTCCACTGAAATCATGTCAAACTACTAAGAGGGTTTACCTCCCAGAAAGCCCTCAGACATGCCTGGCTAGTAGATTAAAATGTACACCACAACTTAATCTCCTCACATTACAGTGTTAACAATGACCTCCGAATTTTGAGCAAGGATCAAATGAGAAAAATAAAATGTTTAAATACAAGACTTAAGAATGTTTCGTCTATTTCAAAAAGTAGGATGCAAATTTTTTCACACAAGAAGCTATCAAAGCGCAATAATAGTTGCAGTGTGTAGGTAATGATGGTGATGGGTGTTATGATAGGGACCACCTGTTTGACATAGCACACAGAACTTACCCGTCTCAAACCTGTTTTCTCTTTATCATGTGAGTTTGAATTAATTTCAAAGGTGTTTTATAATCCCAATGGGATAAAGTGAAAATAAAAAATGTGCATTTTTATCAAAATTTATCTTATTCATGTCCTATAAGTTTTGTGTGTCTCTATGTCCCTCTGTGTAGTCCTGCTGTGCTCTGGAAACGCTTAAATAACATTCTTCAACTTTATATTTTAAATTCATTTAAATCCTTCCGTGTATTACACCATTGTAAGATTCAAATTATACTGATTTACCGTACATAAGGTTGACGAGGATATAGGAACAGATTTTGTTGCCTGCATTTTCATCCATATTTTTGCAACTATGAAGCGACTTTATGTTTTTTTGGAAAATTGATGTACCCAAAACAATGTTTACAAGAAGACATAAAATTGATGTGCACCCAAAACAATGTTTACAAAAAGACATAAAATTTATTTTGTTGAAAACACAATTAATTACAGTTGATGAAGTTATCTCAATGTGATGTCATTTAAATTGTTTAAAATAAAATTACCAGATAACAAAATAAGGAGGAATGGTTTTCTGTCTAACAGAGTGATGTAGGCCAAGTCAGCAGTGTGATAAATGATATCATTGATCTGTGTGAGTTGTGCCTATACATAGCAGGAAATGAGGAGGGGGATAATTGTGATTAATGTAAAACAGGCTTTACACAGCAGGCTAGGGCCTCAGGGAATACAGAAATCCATTAGGACTCCATAAAACAGCCCATTATAGTGAGGTAACTACCTACTCAATCTGTCGTTTAAAGCACAATTCAATATTTTATCAATATCAAAATACATTTTAAAAATTGAATTCCCCCTGTTTTATTCTTTGATGTTTAAATTGACAGAATATTACCTGTTTCAGTAGGTTATATCATGGTATTGTTTGAAGATATTTCTTCAATTGAGTGTCATGATCTTGACGGCTTTGACATATCAATAGACCTTGGAAACTGAACCTGTCTAATCCAGAAACCTGTGTAAACAATAAGATCTTTAACAAAAACCTGTCTAATCCAGAATTCTGTATAAACAAGATCATCAAAAAGGTTAAGCTATTTACCTTTCAAGATCAGTAACAAAATCCTGTCTAGTCTAGCTGAACGTCTTGATCCCTACAAGATTTCCTGTTTAGACAGATTTCACTGGAGGTATATTTTAATAAGGGCATTAGAAAGGACACGTTTTGCACTTGGAGATAAGAACACTGTATTTTTTGATACCCAAACACTTGAATACACCTATACACCAAGTCTGATACCCTTATTCATAGATGTATACACCTATACACCAAGTCTGATACCCTTATTCATAGATGAATACACCTATACACCAAGTCTGATTCCCTTATTCATAGATGTATACACCTATACACCAAGTCTGATACCCGTATTCATAGATGTATACACCTATATCCCAAGCCTGATACCCTTATTCATAGACGAATACTCCTATGCACCAAGTCTGATACCCTTATTCTTAGATGTATACACCTTTACACCAAGTCTGATGCCCTTATTTATAGATGAATACTCCTATAAACCAAGTCTGATACCCATTCATAAATGAATACTCCTATAAACCAAGTCTGATACCCATTCATAAATGAATACTCCTATAAACCAAGTCTGATACCATTATTCATAGATGTATACACCTGTACACCAAGTCTGATGCCCTTATTCATATATGAATAAGGGCATCACACTTGGTGTATAGGTGTATGCATCTATGAATAAGGGCATCACACTTGGTGTATAGGTGTATTCATCTATACACCAAGTCTGACACCCTTATTCATAGACGAATACTCCTATGCACCAAGTCTGATACCCATTCATAGACGAATACTCCTATGCACCAAGTCTGATACCCGTATTCATAGATGTATACAACTATACACCAAGTCTGATGCCCTTATTTATAGATGAATACTCCTATAAACCAAGTCTGATACCCTTATTCTTAGATGTATACACCTGTACACCAAGTCTGATACACTTATTCATAGATGTATACCCCTATACACCAAGTCGGATACCCTTATTCATATATGAATACTCCTATAAACCAAGTCTGATACCCATTCATAGATGAATACTCATATACACCAAGTCTGATAGCCTTATTCATAGATGTATACACCTGTACACCAAGTCTGATACCCATTCATAGACGAATACTCCTATGCACCAAGTCTGATACCCTTATTCTTAGATGTATACACCTATACACCAAGTCTGATGCCCTTATTCATGGCTGTCATACACTTAATCCTCTTATAATTATCTGATATAATATATACTTCAGAATATCACCCATTGAATTATTAAACTAAATTTAGATTCAGAAATATAACCATGTTCATCTTACTTTGTTAAACAAGATACTGAAATAAATTATTTAGTAAGCTTATTGTTAACACTTCTATAGATTCACGTCAGTATTTACCCATCACATCCTTTAAATTAAGATTGGATTACAGAATCTGTGTCTACCCCGTTGGTCGCTACAGTAATAGTTACCTTACCTGTGACCCCCTTACCCTAGCCATGTAGTTACCTTACCCCCTCACCCTAACCCTGTAGTTACCTTACCCCTCACCCTAACCCTGTAGTTACCTAACCCCCTCACCCTTACCATGTAATTACCTAACCCCCTCACCCTCACCCCGTAGTTACCTTACCCCCTTACCCTAGCCCTGTAGTTACCTTACCCCCTCACCCTATCCCTGTAGTTACCTTACCCCCTCACCCTATCCCTGTAGTTACCTTACCCCCTTACCCTACCCCTGCAGTTACCTTACCCCCTCACCCTTACCATGTAATTACCTAACCCCCTCACCCTTAACCTGTAGTTACCTAACCCCCTCACCCTTACCATGTAATTACCTAACCCCCTCACCCTCACCCTGTAGTTACCTTACCCCCTTACCCTAGCCATGTAGTTACCTTACCCCCCACCCTTAACCTGTAGTTACCTAACCCCCTCACCCTTACCATGTAGTTACCTAACCCCCTCACCCTCACCCTGTAGTTACCTTACCCCCTTACCCTAGCCCTGTAGTTACCTTACCCCCTCACCCTCACCCTGTAGTTACCTTACCCCTTCACTTACCCCTGTAGTTACCTTCCCCCCTCACCCTAACCCTGTAGTTACCTAACCCCCTCCCCCTGACCCTGTAGTTACCTAAACCCCCCCCCCTAACCTGTAGTTACCTAACCCCCTCCCCCTAACCCTGAAGTTACCTAACCCCCCACCCTTCCCCTGTAGTTACCTAACCCCCTCACCCTAACCCTGTAGTTACCTAACCACCTCACCCTAACCTTGTAGGGGGCACCCTAACCCTGTAGTTACCTTACCCCCTCACCCTAACCCTGTAGTTACCTAACCCCCTCACCCTAACCCTGTATTTATATACCCACCTTGTGTAGATCTATGTATCCCTATCATTGGCTACATCTACAATTACTTACTCCACATAACTACTTCTCCTGTAGTTACCTACATGCCCCACTTTGAGTTCAGGTACCCTTAAATCATACTGTTATCAAACATTGCACAGTTACTGGGAAGACTTGGTCCTCTTCAAATACTCGGCCAGGCACACGTGTCCTTTGTAACAGAATCAGTCACTATTAAAATTGAACAGGATGTTATGACTGGGTCACCAACGACACTATATATATCTTACACTGCACAGTCAATGTTCTCTTTAAAAAAAAAATGCAACACACGTCTGAAGGTTTAATAGACTGGGAGATCGACTGAATAGTCTGTTAAATCTTCAGGTGAGGTATATTATATACTTCTCCTTGATAGTTTCATGGAATCCAAAGGAACTTGTGTATTTCTTGGAATCAATTTTGGAAATAAATTTGTCAAACAATCTTTTTTATGTAAGATAATTTTGATCGCCTTCTGAAACCTTCTTTGTGAAATCTAATAATGCAGCTTTGCCTTTCTATTTATAATCTGGTTTTCTCTGTATTGAGCAGTTAACTTCAGAAAATTTGATATTATCTTGGAGCCGAAAACTCTCCTAAAATGGATATTTTTGTCACAGAAAAAGAAAAGAGACGCCATTGTCGTTTAAAATTTGTTTGCGTAGATGCAATCAATCTTCCATCATCACAGAATTTTTATCACATAGCGATGTTAAATAGACTGAGCGAGGCGTTGTGACACCTCCCACAGAAACATGACACACACCATTACCTAGGAGATCATCTCAGTCACACATGGCCTGGCCCAGTGTATCATCATTAAGTACCGTTATATATAGAGTCGGCAGTAAATCGGTCAAATTATCAGACTTATATTTCTCTATAAATGTCAGTAATTATAGCATCAATCAGTTCCCTAATCTGGAAATTTATGTTGGTACACAGAATCTAATATCCTCGGGGTATAAGACAATTCTTGTTTCATATATTTTGTGGCTAAAACTAAAAAAAATCTACATTAAAATGGAAATCATTAGCCATTACAAAAAGATGTATATGTATACTTAACGAAGAAAAAAAATCTAAAAAATTGTTTAGTCATATATTTGTGTGTCATTGACCTATGGGTTAAAAATTCCCTCTGTCATTTCCTCTGGACATCAAAACTGCCAGACAGTTAGCAAGAGATAGAAATCTACACACAGTCTTTCAAAACATTTTATCAGAATATTTTTTTAAAAAGGTATTAAAGCCATTAAAATGTTAGATACATTATAGTACACAGATCTACAGAAAGCTGACATGTGTTATGGCCAACTTGTACAGGTGTGCTATGTTTATCTCGTTACAGGTAGACTGTTGGAGCCTGGGAGTTGTCCTATACACCCTGGTGTATGGAGCCATGCCATTTGACAGTTCTGACTTCAAAGTTTTGAGAAAACAGATATCTAATGGGGACTATTATGAACCTACAAATGCTGCAGGTTTGTAAAAACAATGATTTAAAAAGAAATCAAATCTTAAACTTTATTTGATCAATCTAGGTTCAGCCCCCATTGAATGACTTATTAATATGCATGTGTCATAAGTACAAATACTGTTATTCACAGGTGTTACACTTTATTTTAACATTTGGCGTTATATCACAATACTTTGGGTAACGCAAGTCATTATAAAACTGTTTTTAATTAGGAGTAAAGACTCATAGAGGTATCACTGACTACTTGTAGCTTTGTTAGCACCTTGTTAACAATTTTAGTTTAAAAAATATGGATTCAATAATTTTCATCAACCTTTTTTGTTATAGAATGTGCGGGTCTTATTCGCCACCTATTGACAGTGAACCCCGCCAAACGGGCAGGTGTGACGGACATCCTGAACCATTGGTGGGTGAACCTCCATCACAACAAGACCCCATGTGGGGCTCCGTACCCAAATCCTGACTTCCTCAAGCCGGTCACTCTGCGTCACAACCAGAGCTTGTCGTCAGACAGCGAAGGCGAAGTGGATATGAAATCTGCCAAGCCTTTGAAGAGCATCCTCAAAAAGCCGTCAAGTGGTAGTACAAGCAGTAACAACAGCAGGTCGAGCGAGGACCCGTGTGATACAGCTTGTCGGGAATCAAAATGCCACGACTCACTGCCATCGATGGAGGTCGGGGATACTCAGTGTGTCAATGGCTATACAGACTCTATGACCATGCCCGAACAAGGACCTGAGGTTTTTTGTTCTGCTACAGAAGGGGCAGGTAACTCCAGTGAAGAGATAAAAAAAGTGTTCGATTCCGAGAAGAAACCTGCAAGGGGAATTCTCAAAAGGAAGGGTAAATTCTCCGGAGGTGACAGTGGATGTGTTCTTAATGAGAATAGTGTGAAAAGTCCTGGTGAATCTGAAACAAAGGAGAATACCTCCATGACTTACAACCTGTCGGACATTGATCAGGTTCTACATGGAGGGGAGAATACTGCCCCAAACTCACAGATCTGTCGCAACCAAGCATCAGACTTTGTACATAGTGGTACATCATATACACCAGCAGACAATGTCAGTGAGAGGAGTGTGACAGTGGTGCCTCGTCGGGGCATACTGAAGCAGCCCGGAACCACCGATGCCAGAAAGAGGCTTAGTGCTTGTAGTATAGGATCCAACTCCTCTGCAGAAATACTGGACTTTTCGTATGACAGTGGAGACGACCAGTATCTGAATCTGTCCAAGTTTGGAATTGTAACCTCCTCTGATGGAATCGATCACTTGGGTGGCTTCAATGCAGGTCTTGACCCTGGACCCAGTAGCAATGAATACAGAACCAGGGGCGATTCAGGACATTTTGACCAAAGCAGACCTGACATTTCCCAAAAACTTTAACATGGGTCCTGTTTGTGACCCGTGACAGACTTGTATGGTGTTGGTGTATAGATACACGTCAGTATCTCTTCACTGTATACATAAGTTCATTATAACAATCCCTACATGTTTAGTAGTGACAACTATTGTGATGCATGGGACTATATTTTCGCCAGCTAGAATCTTTTGGTTATTATTTGGTTTTAGCAGTCAAATGGTTCCCATGGTTACCGTGGAATGCATGTAATTGTTTCGGTGCTTAAAAGGATTACTTTCGTACATTAACTAGCAGTGATAGCTAATTGCCTAGCTGTTATTTAGGGGTAGCATTATACTAGGAGGTGTCATAACAACCCCACGTAGCTATAGCCGCTGTGACCTGTAATGCAATTTCTAGTCTATATTTAGATTGGTCGTATAATCTGTTGCTCATCCACACAAGAAGAACGCAATGTTTGGTGCTCTGAGATGATGGTTCTGCCATGGTGTTTTTGTCATGATCTCATTTTCGATAGCAGTCCAACTGCAGCAAGCACATTTATTATTTCCAGAACTGTTATGTAGAACAAAGTCTGAACTTCTCCCTCTGTGGCAGTAATTTGCTTCAAACAAGATAGTAGATCCATTAATTGGATATACCTAAGGCATTAAAGTTTCTAGCAGGGACGCTTATAGATTGGAAGACGTTTGTCTGAAGAGTTGAAAGATTTTTAATCCACAGGAGACTCTGTTCTGCATAACAGTTCGACAGTCATGTCTTATTATGTAATATTTCGACATTTCTGTTTGGCACTGATTCCTGTAAGGGAGAAGATATGTACATTTTATGTAAGCTTTTGTTCAGAAATTCTCATTACTATAAGTATGTGTGAATTTTTGTATTTATTTATAAAGTAGTATTTACGCTTTAAGTTACATGTGTGTCTTCTAGTACATGAGAGGGAACATTACGTGTACCAGTCAGCATTTCCAGTAGCTAACTTTCACTTTACATGTAGTTAACATTATAATGCTATTGTGATATTCCCACAAGCCACGTTCACGATGCCAAAATTGTATCAATGTCTATTTAATTTAAATGTTGAAAACATAAGTGATAATTGTAAATATAATTTTTGGCTGTTGTCCCAAAATCTGAAACACACAATACATTCAGGACACTAACAAGTCAAATATCAATTCTACAAATTCAGTTTATTTTGGCAATGTACAAAATGTTAATATGTTAAAGCATTTATCATTGGATTTTTGAAATTTTATAGATATTTATAGTCTATGAATGCTCAAATTATTGTTGTAAACAATTATTCTTAACTTCGAAAAGGAGTGTACCAAGAGTCTCAACATGAAAAGAAAGAGTCTAGAATATTAAGTATGCTGTCAAATTGTGTTAGCATGTGTATTGTCTGTGTGTGTTTCCGGTTTGTATTCGTGTTGCTGTCAGTGTGTGTCTGAGGTTTACAGTCACATTGTCAAGGTCATTGTGCATGTCTATATTACTCCGTCAAGGTCGACACAGTGAATATATCTTGATTGTCCAGGTCACGTATACTGTTTATTGACTGTCAAGGTCAGCTGTGACGGAGTGGTGTGTCAAGTAATTAGGACACAAGTCTGTAGTGGTAGATTTAGCTCTTAGTGCTTCCAACGTGTTCTGTCCTAAATGAGTGACAGGTGTGTTGTATAAGTGTGTGTTAAATGTGTTGTATATGTGTGTTGCAGGTGTGAATCATACAAAAAAGGGGTGTGTGTGCTTCACTGAACATGTATGACTGATTTAATGAAAGTGGAATTTCAAAGAAACAAAATTAATCAGACCAAGTATAGATGAAACTTCATTTCACAAAGAATTACAAATGTTCCATCAAACATCTATAAAATCAAACTTAACTTTGTGGTACATTTGTGCTAGGTGTTGCTTGATACTGTTTGCCTGTAAGACATTGATTTAGATATTGAAAGTACTGAACCGGAAATAAATACCCAGAATTCGGAGAGATTGTTTGGTCATGAAAGTATGAATGAGCTTTATAGTATTGAAGCCAACATTAAAAGTTTTGTGCAGTAATTCCATATTATATTTGTCCCAAATATTTCCTTAAATAATTGTAATTCCTTAAATGTCATTCATCATTTAATTTATTGATAAGTAAAACTATCACAAACGAAATAAAACAATAAATCTTACATCTCTTGTTTTTTATCTGTTGTTGATGTCACAGTGACAACTGTCTCCATTTGACATACAGTCAATGTAATAGTCGGCAGGAGCCAGACTTGTGTGACAGTAAACAGTGTTATAGTAGATTTAGATTTCCCTATCTTGAACTTTCCCTTTCTTGTTGCAACAACCATACTACCTATCCTAATACCGTCCTTGTGGTTTCGTTGTGAATACCCCGGTACTCACTTTGAGGACGTGACATTATATACATGGTGGCTATCTTCGCTCCCTGCACCCCTGGAATGTGTCATAGCAAAATTGAAGGCTCGGTGTGCACCACATTGTTGATGAGACAAGAAGACTACTTCGATCCTTTGATGTACATCAAAAGATGCTTAATCCCTTTTGTATATTAGATGCAAATAAAATTATGTTTAAATCAAAAGAATCTCGCGGTCACGCAACAGTAAAAATTGACAGGCTTTGAAGTCGGGCGTCTCTCCTTTGTAATTGTGTCGCCTGCGAAAAGCTGGTGACACATATAGGTATTGCTTTGGCGGCGGCGGCAAGGTCAAGGTCACTGTTACTATAAATAGAAAATCTGTTTTCGTGCGATAACTTGAGTTTCCTTGGACCGATCAAACTCAAACTTCATGCAGTGCTTCCTTACCAAAAGTGCGTGCTTGGGATTGCTTTTCAGGTCCGCAGGTCAAAGGTCAAGGTCACTGTTACTATAAATAGAAACTTCACTAAAACTGTATACTGGACGGCTTCGATCTACCACTTGACCCACCGTGTATACCTCTGAAATGCCGTCTTACTCCAAATGTTATTGACAACACTAGCTGTTTAACATCATAATCCACAAGTTTATTCATTTATTTATGGGAAACCATCCGAGGAGTCATACAAATTAAACTTGGAATGGAGACAATGAGTATCCATAGCAAGTTCCTTAAATTCTTCCCAGAATAACAGATTATATAACAAAATGATGCCATCCAAAAACATAATCTATGATTATTTTTTTTACCTGAGACCAATCAAACAGCTATCTTTGGGCCTTCAATTTTGCTTTGACATATTCCAGGGGTGTAGAGAGCGTAAGTGAGCGTAACCCCTGGAATATCGAGGATGCATGGCCGGCGGCTGTCGTGGATGAATCAGAAGATGATAACCTTCAGGAATGCCTGGTCCGTGTCCAATGGTCTCCTTGTAAAAGTTTCTTTTCTAAGTTCGTATTTTCCCCTGTCTCATCAATTTTCAGTTCAAATTCCGATTCTGTTCTTTATTATTCTCTTGTGGTTTTTCGTCCTTGAAAAAAGTCATACAGTTTTATTTTTGTCGACGAGATCTGGCAAAATCAAAAACGTCACTATGACCAGCACAGCATTATTTCTGCATGAGTGTGCAGCTGTTCTGACGTAATATAAGAATTCCGACATCAATTGGGCACATCAATAGGTTATATAGGGTAAGTTTTATCGGGACGTTGTCTGTAAAACCCTTCATCACATGCCCTAAGCTTGTTTTGTCGGACCTTTTCCATTATATAATGATAAACAGTGGCCAACAGAAATACCGCCCTTCTTATTCTCCACTGTGTTACTGGGTCCAACCTGGATTAAATGTATTACGTCACACAACGTGGTCGATAAAACGTTAAAAATAGACATATACTTCGTTCAGCTGGCAGAATAGGAGTATCATATTGGGCCGGTTTTAGATGTGAAAGGGCGTATAATATAGACTACAATGACGAATGTACATTGTTAAGATGGTAGCCGATATATGAGTCGTTTTCTATACATGGTATGCTTTTAATCATGATAAAAAACGATTTCAAGAAGGCCCCAAAATCAATGTCCACGGTTACCAAACGTTCCTATATTGGGGTCGGGTAAAGAGGAAGAACTGGTCCCGATCAAATGCGCCTGTGTCGACTGCAAATCCAAGAACACGAGGGCCTTTCCTTCATGCGCAGCGGACAGATGTTCGACTATATTAACAGAAATGGTTTACTGATGACCAGAAAAAAATGGAACGCCAGAATTAACGTATATTTAATTATCTTCTTGAATTGAACCTTTGATTAATTAAACTGAAGATAGTCTCATTTCATGTAAAGCTTGGTGTTTCTCATTTATACTTAACTTTAATCAGTTCAATTGAAGATAGGTTCAGCTGAATTAGCAATACCTCCGAATGACTTAAAGTGACATCTTCAATTAAATTGAAGGTAACTTAATAATTGAATTGAAGGTATGCTCATTTATTTGAAGATAGGTGTATATAATTGCATGTATGTTGATTTGGCGTTCTATAGGAAATTGGTGCTGAGTAATTCTCTGCTGCCGAGAAAGGTAGTTCTACAGGGACAAATTTGCACCAATGCTGTACCAACGTGACAGAGACTGGTCTTCTGCTAACCATTCAGCACTAAGATAATCGTCTGTAATATGTGCATAACCCACTTGACTCTACTACAATTGCAATCAAAGAGGGAATGGCGAGGAAAGCACGCTTAAATGTCAAAGGAAGGCAAACCAGGACGTAATGAGTCGGGTCGCACGTTCATTACACTAGGGGATGCTGAGAGAACTCGCTCCTTTGTCTGTGGGCACACATTGAAAAAGCCAAATGACGCATGCGTCGTCGCATTTTGGGGAAAGAATGACAAATACCTCACAGCAGTAGTACAACCAGGAGACGTTTCTTGGAAAATGTAATTATAAGAAATGTTTCCCACGGTGCAGTATTAGTGTTTTTTCCTCCTTAAGAACGGGATGTGTCCGTTATAAACCATCTAACGCTGAAATGTGCTGTATTAATAGGGTTCTCTGATGCTCAAAGCTATGCACAAGCAACACAGGGAGGTTTTGTCTGTGATTAATACCTACTTCTAGACACACGCGATACGTTGTTGTAATTGAATGATTTGTCCCCTGTAACAGCAGCAAATCACCACAGAGAGGGACATTACGGAATTAGAACTGCAGAGCCGAAACTAATTAGAACTATTTTGGGCACGACAAACAGACACATTCTAACGGCAAATAAATTGAAATACGATGACATTTTCAGCATATTTTCTGCAAAAAAATAATTACTGGTCATTCTTTAGAACAATGGAGAATGTAGTAAAGACTGACCGGTTACCGTTTCTTAAGGAATCACAAATAGGATAACTGTCAGAGACAGGAACGAAATAAGTCTGGAGTGCCGCGTGAACTAACAAAATCACAACAAAAAAGTTTAGTGTCCCTCGGGAAACTAACGGAATCATAAGGTTGGAGTGTTGATGGGAATAACGGGATCGTGGGATTTGTGTGTCCCAAGATCAAACGGAATCACTAGACTTGGCTGTCTCAGAGAACTAACAAAACCACAAAATATGAACTGACAAGGAACAAAATTAAAAACAAATGTCAACAGAACTTATTGGAGTATCTCGGGGAACTATCGGAATTACATTGACCCTGCAGGTAGGCCGTAAGAATTGTACCTGCTGATCTGCATGATCGTAAGAGGCCTGTGAGGAAGGCTTTGGGTTCTGTCCCCTGACCGAGACATACCAAAGTCTTTAAAAGTGGTAGTTTATAGTCCTGCTTAACGCTCAGCAAATTAGGCGTGGGACGACTGGTTCGCCCGTTGTCAGTATAATGTGGCCGGGTGGGTCGTCCTGCTGGGTGTCTTCGGCAGGAAGTTTCAGTGAGATAGCACTATAAAGTCGGCATCAGTTCCGCGCTATCACAAGGAGACAAACACGAACATATCGCAGCCTCCCAAAATACCCACACATACACTACACGCATGCATCTTGTACACAGGGGAGGCCGTCCTTAAATGGCCTTAGTTGTTAATAGGACGTTAAACAAAATCAAACAAACAAACAAACAAAATCGGAGTTACATGATTTGATTGTCGCGGAGAACCAATTGAGTCACAAGCTTGTTCTCACTGGCCAGTTCTGCTACTGGTCAACACTGGCAATCAAGTCGTATGTCCGGATATCCGGTTGGCTCCATTTTTACACAGCACCGTTTCACCTTTGCGTTGGCATGATGCAGATCAATATATCAATAAGATCGATATCATTTGATTGGTTCCTGTTCAGTGACAGTTAAGTATCTATGAAGTACATATTTGACAGATTAATGGGGCTCCTTAACAGAGACAAAAAAATACATTCGAGTATTAATCCGGGTCTCACACTTTGTTTCGCAAACCCTGCGCAGGATATCTCACTTTTTTACGTGTGCGAAATTTAGAAAATGATTTTGAATTAGAGATGACCAAACGAGGATTATGTTGTGGAGGTATACCAGCAGGTGTCTCCAATGCCATTACAGACCCTGCTTGTTGGCCTTTACAAGGCCACATTGTTCCGTTACACAGACTACTGGGGTGTACCTCTGTGTACTGAAATGTGATAAAAGCTCTGTCAGCATACCCAAGACTCAATTTTAAAATTGTGTTATTTATTACTTTTATCTAACTTAGATAAACCATTTTCATGTTGTCTCATTCTCATTTTGACTTTGATTACACTCATTTTGACTGAACCATCGATTACACAAAAACTATACTATTGTATTTATGTTATAAATACGAAAATAAATAGCTTTTAAGATCTGTTGATGAAAACAGAAATTATCTATCTCAAAATGTTTATTTTCAGTTTCATTTTTATGAGTGGTTTTATTTAAAATGTTGAACAAACTGGTTTAGAGTTGTAAGCTGGTCGATCTTTTGTCGGGGTGTTTTGTCGGGATGTTTGTCGGGGGGTTTGTTGGGGTCACCAGTGCCTATCTAGTACACGGAGCGGCCTTCATACCCGTGCCTGTTCACCCCCGAGTCTCAGTAATGTTTGGGTATCAAATAGCTTTTAGAGGAAAATAGGTCGGGTGTATTTACGAAAAAGTAATCACAACACATATTTGTGTGACCTTTGGACTGTTTGATGTCTTGTTTTGATCAAGGCTTAGCAAATATTTTGTACGATATCAAATATATATACATA